GCAGTTCCATTATGCCCTACTCTGTGGATAATTTTGAGACATTGTAGTCAGTGCCCCCCCCCCCCAAGTCTGGCTGACTTGGGCTCTGGAAATGTAGCAGGGTCACCTCTTAACCTGACCCTGATTAGCTGACCAGGATGTGACTTCTCCATCTCCTTGATTGGTTGAGTAGGGCTCTGGAAGTACTGGGGTCGTCTTCTGTCCTGGATATGATGGGAAATGGCTTGTTGGGGATGGGGAGAAGACCTTGACAAGGAGGCATTTTATTGTAAATTCCAAAGTTCCAACAAGAGGAGAGCTGTCTTTATGTTTTCAATGAACAACACTTTATTTGAAAAATATACCTGAAAAGGTTCTAACCAGTACCGATTCTGCTAAAACCAAAAAAACATGAATATATTGGCTTTAGACATTCTTTAAAGCTGTAGATAAAAAGCACTCATATATAGTTTTTTATTCTCATACAATTATTAAAATATAGAAGCCAATCAGCCTTTGGTATTAATTTTAATTCTTCATATGAGGATTAAGATGAATTATTTGCTTCTATCACCTTCCCTTGCTACCAGTAGGGTGCGTCCACCTTTACACCTCACATTTAGCAGCCCCCCTTCCTTTAAGTCAAGCAGGTCTACCAGTATTAGGTTTGCCCCCATGATTTATTATCCAAAATTGCAGTGTACACTCTGACTGTAGAATGTTGCAAGCAATTCCAAAGTAGAAGAGAGTGGATGTACTGTACAAGGATGGTAGAAACTAGATGGAAGCCACTCGGGACAAGTCAGGACTAGCAGCTGATAGCAGATGTAATTCATGGACATAGCAAAGGTTGGGGGAGGGGGGAGACAGCAAAAGGATCTGATAATGTAGCAAAGGCCAGGTACGGGCAGCAGATGAGAGAAGTATTGATTAGACTTAGCAAAGGTCAGGGCAGACAGCAGAAGGATCTGGTAATGTAGCAAAGGTCAGGGTGGGCAGGTGGTAGACAGTGGAGGGATCTGGTAATGTAGCTAAGGTCAGGGCAGGTGGCAGACAGTAGAGGGATCTGGTAATGTAGCTAAGGTCAGGGCAGGTGGCGGACAGTAGAGGGATCTGGTAATGTAGCTAAGGTCAGGGCAGGTGGCAGACAGTAGAGGGATCTGGTAATGTAGCTAAGGACAGGGCAGGTGGCAGACAGTAGAGGGATCTGGTAATGTAGCTAAGGACAGGGCAGGTGGCAGACAGTAGAGGGATCTGGTATTGTAGCTACTTCAGGGCAGGTGGCAGCCAGTAGAGGGATCTGGTAATGTAGCTAAGGTCAGGGCAGGTGGCGGACATAAGAGGGATCTGATAATGTAGCTAAGGTCAGGGCAGGTGGCGGACAGTAGAGGAATCTGATAATGTAGCTAGGGTCAGGGCAGGTGGCGGACAGTAGAGGGATCTGGCAATGTAGCGAAGGTCAGGGCAGGTGGCGGACAGTAGAGGGATCTGGCAATGTAGCGAAGGTCAGGGCAGGTGGCGGACAGTAGAGTGATCTGGCAATGTAGCGAAGGTCAGGGCAGGTGGCGGACAGTAGAGGGATCTGGCAATGTAGCTAAGGACAGGGCAGGTGGCAGACAGTAGAGGGATCTGGTAATGTAGCTAAGGTCAGGGCAGGTGGCAGACAGTAGAGGGATCTGGTAATGTAGCTAAGGTCAGGGCAGGTGGCAGACAGTAGAGGGATCTGGTAATGTAGCTAAGGACAGGGCAGGTGGCAGACAGTAGAGGGATCTGGTAATGTAGCTAAGGTCAGGGCAGGTGGCAGACAGTAGAGGGATCTGGTAATGTAGCTAATTCAGGGCAGGTGGCAGCCAGTAGAGGGATCTGGTAATGTAGCTAAGGTCAGGGCAGGTGGCGGACATTAGAGGGATCTGATAATGTAGCTAAGGTCAGGGCAGGTGGCGAACAGTAGAGGGATCTGGTAATGTAGCTAAGGTCAGGGCAGGTGGCGGACAGTAGAGGAATCTGATAATGTAGCTAGGGTCAGGGCAGGTGGCAGACAGTAGAGGGATCTGGCAATGTAGCGAAGGTCAGGGCAGGTGGCGGACAGTAGAGGGATCTGGCAATGTAGCGAAGGTCAGGGCAGGTGGCAGACAGTAGAGGGATCTGGTAATGTAGCTAATTCAGGGCAGGTGGCAGCCAGTAGAGGGATCTGGTAATGTAGCTAAGGTCAGGGCAGGTGGCGGACATTAGAGGGATCTGATAATGTAGCTAAGGTCAGGGCAGATGGCGAACAGTAGAGGGATCTGGTAATGTAGCGAAGGTCAGGGCAGGTGGCGGACAGTAGAGGAATCTGATAATGTAGCTAGGGTCAGGGCAGGTGGCGGACAGTAGAGGGATCTGGCAATGTAGCGAAGGTCAGGGCAGGTGGCGGACAGTAGAGGGATCTGGCAATGTAGCGAAGGTCAGGGCAGGTGGCGGACAGTAGAGGGATCTGGCAATGTAGCGAAGGTCAGGGCAGGTGGCGGACAGTAGCGGGATCTGGCAATGTAGCGAAGGTCAGGGCAGGTGGCGGACAGTAGAGGGATCTGGCAATGTAGCGAAGGTCAGGGCAGGTGGCGGACAGTAGAGGGATCTGGCAATGTAGCGAAGGTCAGGGCAGGTGGCGGACAGTAGAGGGATCTGGCAATGTAGCGAAGGTCAGGGCAGGTGGCGGACTGTAGAGGGATCTGGCAATGTAGCGAAGGTCAGGGCAGGTGGCAGACAGTAGAGGGTTCTGGTAATGTAGCGAAGGTCAGGGCAGGTGGCAAAGAGTAGGGTCGTTTTAAAAAAGTAATTTGCATTGAGATTTATTGTGCAGGAAAAGTAAGAGCAGTGGGAAGGCAATATTTAAAAGTTAAGTGATTGTTTTGCCTTTCCTTTGAATTTATTTAATTTTTAGAATCTGTGTATGTTATCAGCTCCTCTAAGCAACCTAATCTTGGAACTCAAATATGTGGTGGCTTTTGGGTCATCTCCATCAAGCTGGTAGTTGGACACAATCCTGACATTTGACCAGTCCTTAAATTCTTATACCAAAAAGGCAACCATTTGTTTCTGGCTATGGCAAAAGTAGGTTTCCAAGGGACTAAACTGTCAAACCACTGTTTCACTTGGCTGGAGGTGCCTTCACTTGTCTCAGAGACATTAGATTGTGATCTGACCCAACAGCAAGCTGTAATGAGCGTGACCTTTATACCACCATAGTCTATTCAATGTAAACTGTATTGAGCAGGACCCTCATTTCTCCTGTCCCCTATTAGACTGTAGTCTGTAACAGGGGCGGACTGACAACTCATGGGGCCCCTGGGCAATAGGGGATCATGGGGCCCCTATGTCCTTGCCCACACTCAAAGCACACCCAAAAAAAGCTTATAAAAAAGTACCAGGGGCATTTCATGGGGCCCCCTACTGACCCCGGGCCCTCGGGCAGTGCCCGAGTGCTCGAGTGGTCAATCCGCCCATGGTCTGTAATAATCTGGACCCTCATACCTCCTGCCCCCTATTAGACTGTAGTCTGTAATAATCTGGACCCTCATACTTCCTGTTCCCTATTAGACCATTCACTGTAATGTGCAGGACTGTCATACCCCTTGTTTCCTATTTGATGAAAACAGTAATTACCAGGACCTTTATGCATGCTTTTTTTCCTATTAGATGTAACCTGTAATAATCGGGACCCTCATTCCTCCTGTTCTCTATTGGATGTAACCTGTAATGATCGGGACCCTCAAACCTCCTGTTCTCTATTGGACGTAACTTGTAATGATCGGGACCCTCATACCTCCTGTTCCCTATTAGATGTAACCTGTAATGATCGGGACCCTCATATTTCCTGGTCCCTATTAGATGTAAGCTATATCAAGCAGGACCCTCATACCTCCTGTCCCCTATTAGACTGTAGTCTGTAATAATCTGGACCCTCATACCTCCTGTTCCCTATTAGACCATTCACTGTAATGTGCAGGACTGTCATATCCCTTGTTTCCTATTTGATGAAAACAGTAATTACCAGGACCTTTATGCATGCTTTTTTCCTATTAGATGTAATCTGTAATGATCGGGACCCTCATACCTCCTGTTCCCTATTAGATGTGACCTGTAATGATCGGGACCCTCATACCTCCTGTTCCCTATTAGATGTGACCTGTAATGATTGGGACCCTCATACCTCCTGTTCTCTATTAGATGTAACCTGTAATGATCGGGACCCTCATACCTCCTGTTCCCTATTAGATGTGACCTGTAATGATCGGGACCCTCATACCTCCTGTTCCCTATTAGATGTGACCGGTAATGATTGGGACCCTCATACCTCCTGTTCTCTATTAGATGTGACCTGTAATGATCGGGACCCTCATACCTCCTGGCCCCTATTAGATGTGACCTGTAATGTTCGGGACCCTCATACCTCCTGTTCTCTATTAGATGTGACCTGTAATGATCGGACCCTCATACCTCCTGGTCCCTATTAGATGTAACCTGTAATGATTGGGACCCTCATATTTCCTGTTCTCTATTAGATGTAACCTGTAATGATTGGGACCCTCATACTTCCTGTTCTCTATTAGATGTAATCTGTAATGATCGGGACCCTCATACCTCCTGGTCCCTATTAGATGTGACCTGTAATGATTGGGACCCTCATACCTCCTGTTCTCTATTAGATGTAACCTGTAATGATTGGGACCCTCATACCTCCTGTTCTCTATTAGATGTAATTTGCTATGATTGAGCTGACCCTCATACCTCCTGGCCCCTATTAGATGTAAGCTATATTGAGCTGACCCTCATACCTCCTGGCCCCTATTAGATGTAAGCTATATTGAGCTGACCCTCCTATACCTCCTGTTCCCCCTCATTAGATTATGCTATATTGAGCTGACCCTCAACCTCCTGTTCCCTGTTGTATTCTGTATTGCTAACCATGTTTGTTTTATGTTTCAGACACTATAGAAGAGCAGTACACAATATAATGGGCTATGTAAATGATGATGAAGATGATGTTGATAGTAATAATAATAATAGTGACATTATTTTTTTTTCCCCCCACTATAGGTGGAGCCCTGTTGGCATACGATTCAAATTCAGGCACAAACTTCACAAGTAACTCATCCCAAGGCTTCAGCTTCATCTGCTTTCCTGAGGTTCACAGCTCGGATATCGCAGCCCCTCTTACATTCTTACTTATTGCTGCCATCATTTCCAATGTGATCTTGTTGTTCATCATCTTTATTGAGCCAAAACTTCACCATCCAATGTATTACTTCCTGGCTATGCTGGCCATGGTGGACATTCTTCTCTGCACTGTCACCACACCCAGAGTTTTGCTTATCCTCTGGACAGAATATAAAACCATATCAGAAAGTGCCTGCTTTAGTCAAATGTTCTTCAATACCTACTGGTCAGCCATGGAGTCTTCCATATTTTTAGTCATGGCCTATGACCGGTATGTGGCTATCTGCAACCCTCTTCACTACCCTACCATCATCACCAATAAACTTGTGGCCAAAGCTTGCGTGTTCATTGTTGTCAGGAACTTGGTGGTCGCATTGCCGCCTCCTGTACTGGCAGCAAGACTTGACTATTGCGCCAGTAGACAGATTCGTCATTGCTTCTGCGAGAAACATGTCTGTAGAGAAGCTTTCATGCAGCGACTACACCGCAAGCAGCATCTTTGGGTTGGTGTGCTTCTTGTTGTTCGGAGGAACAGACGTTTTTCTTATCATGGTTTCCTATTTCCTCATTCTCCGCATAGTAGTGAAAGCTCGCTCCTTCAGCGCTGCCTCCAAAGCCTTCCGCACATGCGGTTCCCACCTTATCGTAATATGTATATTTTACTTTACCGTGGCCTCCACGATAGTGTCCAGTCGGACACTCCAGGAGCTCCCCCGTCCCATTCATGTAATATTTTATATCTGCACTCCCTTTTGCCTCCATTGTTGAATCCTCTTGTGTATGGTATGCTGACCAAGGAGATTAGAAACTCTGTAAAGAAGATGATTGGAAAGATAAAGATTCATCCATGAGTTGAGTGCAATGGGAAACAGGACTCCTCTTTTACTGATCCTAAGACAAAAAAATGGAAGAAAATTCTCTTTTTGGACTGTTGAGGTGTTCCGAAGAGATCAGAGAATGACATTATGGAAGGCAGTTAAGGTCTGATGGTATATATTGGAAATTTGCTCTTCTCCACACCAGGGTGAGAATGGAAAGAAAGTAACCCTTCCAGGAAACATTGGGATTTGACTCAGATCTCTGAAAGTTGGAAGATACAATTTTGAAAGGTTTTCCTATCTGCAGCATGCCATTTATGAGGCGGCATAACGTCAAGTAACTTAAGGTTTTGTAGATGATGGATGGTTGAGCATTGCCTATTTGTCATGACTGGGGAACCGTTAACACTGAACTGGGACCCAAGTGGAAAATGAATAGTTGTAACACTTTCTGCCCTCTTGAAGACATGAATATAATTAAAATTTTCTTGTTTTGTGCTTTTTATGTTCTCAAGTCCCACCAATAATTGTTTAAATTCCATTGCTGATTTTGATTAATGGCCTTCCCGTGTACCGGCATTATTTTTTTTTTCTTTTACCTTGCTTCTGTAGCAAGAAACATTATTATTATTAGACAGAATTTTTATAGTGCCAAAAGTTTGCTCAGCGCTTTACAATATAACGGGAGACAATACAGCAACAGTACAGTTCAATACAAGAGGGTTAGGAGGGCCCTGCTCCTCGGAGCTTACAATCTAGGAGGGAGGGGCTAGTAGTACAAAAGGTAGTAACTGTGGGGGATGGACTGGTTGGAAGAGTAGAAGATTCCATTGTTAGCTGAGGGCAGGATAGGCTTTCCTGAAGAGATAGGTTTTCAGAGATCACCTAAAAGTGAGCAGAGTAGGCGTTAGTCTGATAAATTAGGGTAGAGAATTCCAGGGGATGGGAGAAGCTCTGTAGAAGTCCTGGAGACGAGCATGGGAGGAGGAGACAAGGGACCTAGAGAGCAGGAGGTCCTCTGAGGAGCGAAGAGTACGGTTTGGGTGATATTTAGAGATAAGATCGGTGATGTAATTTGGGGCTGAGTTAGAAATGGCTTTATACGTTATTGTTAATGTTTTGAATTTTATCCGTTGGGCAACGGGAAGCTAGTGGAGGGATTGGCAGAGAGGGGTGGGGGACACTGAGTGAAGGCCAGTGGAGAGATTGGCAGAGAGAGATGGAGGACACTGAGTGGAGGCCACTGGAGGGATTGGCAGAGAGGGATGGAGGACAGTAAAGGGATTGGCAGAGAGGGGTGGCAGATACAGAACGGTTAGTAAGGTGGATGAGTCTGGCAGCAGCATTCAAAGCCTGTGATGAGGTCGGCCAATGAGGAGGAAGTTACAATAGTCAAGGTGAGAGATAACAAGGGAGTGAATGAGTTGCTTAGTGGTTTCCGAGGTTAGGAACGGGCGTATCTTGGAGATGTTGCGGAGGTGAAGTCTACAAGATTTGGACAGTGATTGGATTTGGGGCTGAAAGGACAGATGGGAGTCTAGGATTACACCTAGTACCCTGGCATGGGGGGAGGGAATGATGATAGTGGTATTGATCTTGATGGAGAAGTCAGGGGAGGGGGCACGGGCTGGAGGGAATACTAAGAGCTCAGTTTTGGAAAAATTGACTTTGAGAAAGTGGAGTGACATCCATGCCGATATGTCACTTAGTAAGTTAGTAATGCGAGAGGAGACTGAAGGGGTGAGGTGAGCGGTAAAAAATTAGATTTGTGTGTCATCAGCATAGAGATGGTACTTAAAGCCATGGGAGTTTATCAAGTGACCAAGGGAGGAGGTGTAGATGGAGAAGAGAAAGGGCCTGCGGACAGAACCTTGAGGGACCCCTACAGAGAGAGAGGGAGTGAAGAGGAGGAGGCAGCGTTATAGGTAACTCTGAAGGAGCGCTGCAATAGGTAGGAGGAGAACCAGGAGAGAGCAGAGTCTTGGAGGCCAAGAGAGTGGAGTTTTTTGAGAAGGAGGGGATGGTCAACCGTGTCAAAAGCCGCAGAGAGGTCAAGTAGTAAGAGTATAGAGTAGTGGCCATTGGTTGGGATGAGTACGGAGTAGTGGCCTTTGGTTGGGATGAGTACGGAGTAGTGACCATTGGTTGGGATGAGTACGGAGTAGTGGCCATTGGTTGGGATGAATACGGAGTAGTGGCCATTGGTTGGGATGAGTACGGAGTAGTGGCCATTGGTTGGGATGAGTACGGAGTAGTGGCCATTGGTTGGGATGAGTACGGAGTAGTGGCCATTGGTTGGGATGAGTACGGAGTAGGGGCCATTGGTTGGGATGAGTACGGAGTAGGGGCCATTGGTTGGGATGAGTACGGAGTAGTGGCCATTGGTTGGGATGAAAAATGGAGTAGTGGCCATTGGTTGGAATGAGTATAGAGTAGTGGCCATTGGTTTTAGCAGTTAGTAGATCATTAGTGAGTTTTAGTAGGGCAGTTTCAGTGGAGTGTAGTGAGCGAAAGCCAGACTGTAAAGGGTCAAGAAGGTTGTTGTCGATGAGATGGGAGCTCAGGCGATTGTAGACTAAGCGTTCTAGGATTTTAGAGGTAAATGGCAGCTAGGAGATGGGTCTTAAGTTGTTCGGGTTGGTGGGGTCCAGGGAGGGTTTTTTTTAAAGTATTTGAGTGATGTGCACATGTTTTAGAGGGGAGGGGAAGGCACCGTTAGGGAGAGATTGAAGATGTGAGTGAGGGAGCATAGGATGGAATAAAAGGGTGACCGTAGTAGTTGTGAGAGGACATTATCCAGGGGGCAGGTAGTGAGACGGGCTTCTGAGAAAACCTTAGTGACCTCTTCGGTAGTAGCAAGGTTAAAAGAGGAAAGTGTTGAGGGAGGTTTAGTATTAGCTATGCTAAGTTGGATGGATGTCTGTGCAGTGGCAATACCCCTACGAATTTCGTCAATCTTGTTTTTGAAATGATTTGCAATCTCGTGAACAGTGAGTGAGGTACTGGGTGGAGGTGAGTGAGGTACTAGGTGGAATAAGTAGAGAGTTAAAAGTAGAGAAGAGACGACGAGGACTAGATGACAAGCTATTGATGAGAGTGACAAAGTAGGCTTGTTTGGCAGCATGAAGGGAGGAAGTGTATGTGAAGAAAGCAGATTTATATCGAGTGAACGCTTGTTGAGGTTTGGTTTTATGCCACAATCGCTCCAGCACACAGCTATGTCGTTTAAGATTTCTGGTGTGGTCAGTCTGCCAAGGTTGTAACGGTCGGGGCCTGAAACATCTTCTATTACTTCATATGTTGTATTCACCAGGCTTCTAGAATTCTTGGGAGGTCAGCTTCTTATGATGTAAATACACCCCCAGAACTACAGCTCCCAAGAGCCCTTTCTTTACACACAGTGTGAGGGCAGGCTTTTGGGGTTCAAAGCAGCAGAAATGTTTTTCTAGGAAAGAAATCATTGTATGTATGTTTATTGGAACAGAAAGGGTGGGGATAGGTGGATAGGGACAGAGGGAGGTGGCATTCTGTAGTCCAGCAGGCAGAGCTGACTACACTGCTTGTAATTTCAGTGCAGTAGAGACTAGGGGGTCATTTACTAAAGTTGGAGAGTGCAAAATCTGGTACAACTCGGCACAGAAACAAATCAGCTTCCAGGTTTTATTGCCAAAGCTTCACTGAACAAGCTGAAGTTAGAAGCAGATTGGCTACCATGAAAAGCTCCACCAGATTATGAGTGTTCCAGTTTTAGTATATCTCCCCCACTGTGTTGTCAGCCCAAAAAGAATGTTGGAGGCACACTGGCAATAGGTATTTTTCTGTACTCGTGTTTTATAAATGGATAAATCAGATGGAAATGTGAACATACCGCAGAGATGTACTGAATATTTATACACTATATTGCCAAAAGTATTGGACCTCCTGCCTTTCCACACACATGACTTTTAATGGCCCCCCAGTCTTAGTCCGTAGGGTTCAATATTGAGTTGGCCCCGCCCTTTGCAGCTATAACAGCTTCAACTCTTCTGGGAAGGCCGTCCACAAGGTTTAGGAGGGTGTCTATGGGAAGGTTGGACCATTCTTCCAGAAGCACATTTGTCAGGTCAGGCACTGATGTTGGGGGAGGAGGCCTGGCTCACAGTCTCCGCTCTAATTCATCCCAAAGGTGTTCTATGGGGTTGAGGCAGGGGCGTATTGACCATTTGGAAACTCAGGCACTGCCCGAGGGCCCGGGGTCAGTAGGGGGCCCCATGAGATGCCCCTGGTACCTTTTTCATAGGCTTTTTTGAGTTTGGGCAAGGACACAGGGGTCCCATGATCCCCTCTTGCCCGGGGGCCCCATGAGTTGTCAGTCCGCCCCTGGGTTGAGATCAGGACAGTCAAGTTCCTCCACCCCCCAAACTGTTTCCTCCATGTCTTTATGGACCTTGATTTATGCACTGGTGCGCAGTCATGTTGGAACAGGAAGAGGCCATCCCCAAATTCTCCCCACAAAGTTGGGAGCATGAAAATGTCTTGGCCAAACTTTACACTTGGCACAATGTAGTCAGGCAAGTACCATTCTGCTGGCAACCGTCAAACCCAGACATGTCCATCGGATTGCCAGACAGAGAAGCGTGATTGTTCACTCCAGAGAACACTGCTCTAGAGTCCAGTGGCGGCGTGCTTTACACAACTGCATCTGACACTTTGCATTGCACTTGGTGATGGAAGGCTTGGATGCAGCTGCTCGGCCATGGAAACCCATTCCATGAAGCTCTCTACGCACTGTTGGGCTCATCTGAAGGCCACACCAAGTTTGGAGGTCTTTAGCTATTGACTCTGCAGACAGTTGGCGACTTCTGCGCACTGTGCGCTTCAGCATGCGCTGACCCCGCTCTGTCATGTGACGTGGCCTACTACTTGGTGGCTGAGTTGCTGTTCCCAGTTTCTTCCACTTTGTTATAATCCCACTAATGGTTGAGTGTGGAACATTTGCCTGCCCATTCTACCCCCCCCCCCCCCCATCCATAGAAGCTGTACGATAGCTGCCA